TGATAAAGGCTGAAATAATATATGTTAATGTAAAATTGTCTTTACACTACTTTAGGAAAAGGTGGCTTCGTAGACTTAGCTGCCACAATAAGAACGAATAGTTACAATGAAACTGTGATTGTAACTCATTTGTTTTGCTGTGATAACGAATCAAACATAAACTGAACTAACAGTTGTACTTTTCCCATCTTCGTTGAACACTGAGTAATCACTCTGTGTGGGCTGGATAGAGCAGATGAACTCTTAAACCAAGTAACTGAGATAAGACCTTCTTTAACAGCAACAACCACTTTCGAAGTTTCGAATGAAGCTGCTCATGAGAGTCAAACAAAGATCGTTGTGCCATTGTTTGACTTTTTAAGAAATAAAGTGCATATTATCTTAAAATAGTAACAGTTTGTTGGAAACAGCGCTGACATTATTATAAGTAATGCATCTTTGGCTCCATAATAAATCATATTTCTGTGTATCAGGCTACATAAACCCACGTCATTAGACCAATAACACAATTATTGCAAAAAGTTTTTTCCTTAAAAAGGCAACACTGTGAAACAGAGCAAAACAAGACTGGATCTGAATGAGAATATCTTAGAATTATTCTGCTACAGATTACGTCTGCCTTTGTCCTCTATGACGCACCGGCGCTTTTACTCGACACCCTGCTTTGTTGAAAACAAGGAAGTAATAATCATGTTCGAGTGGATACCTGAGACTGTTTTCTGGCTCTGATCTGAGGAAATGTGACACACCAACAATGAGATGGAGCAGTAACTTCAAATGTTGACAGTAAAACCTGCTCTACAAGGAAATGCAGCTTTATTTAAACAATACAGCACACCGAACGCTACAGGCAGACCGAATGATTGGCTGCTTTCTGCAGCTGCCTTCCTTGTCTCAGGTTCCACCGCAGATATTTGAAAATCAGAGCAAAATTCAAAGAACAACAGGAGTATGAGTTGTGGCAATTTTTTGCCCAAAATGCCTCAAAAATAAAAACACTAGGCATGCTCATCCAAAAAGTAGAATATTAGTGACACCTAGTGTTTTTGTTTTCTGACTTGTGTGACGCTCGTGATCAGCACCTTGTAGCTGGCTCGCTGTGGTGATAAATCACAGCAGCAGGAAACAAGTTACATGACTATAAAAATATGAAAAGAATTTCGTGCTTTGCAATCTAAACGTTCTCTTCATACTGCTGTTTGTTTCCGGTGAAAGCCAAGCTGGGCATGCACACGAACAGTAGCATCAGAACATTCACATTTTAATATAAGCCAATATCACGGCCCTTAAGTCAGTACAAGTTATGAAAGATTTTAATATTGATAGTGAGTTGAGACTCTGAGAGTGATGCTGTCGTCTTTGAGACCAGATTTAGTCCAAGTGTCACCTTCTGTGTTGTATGTGTCTCTGCTCAGTGACTGCTGGCCTCAAATAAAGAGCAGTGTTTAGTTTGGTGCTGGCACACCTGTAAGGTAAACACTGGGAGTTATATAAACCTGCTGGCTCCAGGGAAATGAAAGATTTGGTGTTGAGATTCAGATTCTTGATTGTTCTTCTTTGTGTAAATTAATCGAGCAACATGTAGAATATCCAAAAGAGAATTTCCTGCCGTATGCTGATCAATTTCCAGCTTACGTTCTAGGAGACTGTTCTGGGTTCACACGTTTATTACACTCTGTAAACTGTGCTCTCAGAAACGGTACGACGGGGACCACGTGGTACAGAACCCATCCCCCAGCATCCACCAACCATCGAACTGCGGCACCGCTCCCGCTCGCCGCACCACCAGGCCCCGCGACGATCACCCACCGAGCCGAACCACCCTCGCCCCGCCAATGAGGACTCCCTGCAAACCTTCTCCCAGCTGCCCGACAGCAATCACCACCTGCCGGAGGAAATGTACCCGTTGTCGGTGTCCCCGGCTGCACCCAACGGGCGCTGCGCTACACCCAGAGAAGCCCCCTGTCCAGGCAGCCCTGGGGGCCAGGAGGCAGGCCCTCCTCGCGTTATCCAACTCATGCCCAGCACCATCATGAACCCTTTGCTCCTCAGTCCAAGCAGGAGTGGCGGGGCTGCTGGCATGGACTTCAGGCACAACCGCGGGGGACCCCTGTCTCAGGTGACGCTGGAGAACGGCCGTGAGGGGAAAGTCCACGGACACCATCATCAGCTAGCCCAGCAGCACCAACAGCAGCATCAGCAGCAACAACAGCAGCAGTTACTACAGCAGCAGCAGGAGGAGGCGCTCTACAGGAACCACGTCATCATGCCCGTGTCTCCTCCAGAGGAGCAGCAGATGCCCATCGGGCGGATAGCAGGTAAGATTTAGCGGCGACGGAGCCGAGCATCAAAGCTGCGTGAGGCGGCATCTGTGGCAGAAACCTCGCATGAGAACTTTTTCAGAGAATCTGCTGATAGCGGCTCACTCTGTCTTTTCCCTGTTGGGTTCTGGCAGACTGCAGGCTGCTGTGGGACTACGTCTACCAGCTCCTTTCAGACAGCAGGTACGAGAACTACATCCGCTGGGAGGATCCGGAGAGCAAAGTCTTCCGCATCATGGACCCCAACGGCCTGGCCAGGCTCTGGGGGAATCACAAGGTACATACACACACGGGCTCTAGGTGTTCAGTGGTTATGTGCAGTGCATATAAAAGAGCAGCACAACAGAAGAGACTTCTTATCGTCATTCCTACAACCATAAAGCTGCACTAACTCATTTATTCTCATAAAACATCAGGACAGAGACTTGATTAACTAAGCACCTTAATCACTGAATAGTGAACTTTTGTTTTTTGGGTTTTTTTCCGACAATTTTGTCGACTTGTTTCAGTTTTATAGTCCTAACAAATGTTTCCTGGCACAACAGATGCTTCTTTTCATCACTCTGGTAGAAATGCTGATAGGATGCTTAAAGAGATGAGATGTAAAGTTGAGTGAAATACAGCAGCTCAGTGTAAACACAGACACACTGATGGATTTAGTGTTTCATCTGTCTTAGCTGTAAGGACACTACCTGTGTGTTAGCCAGGCTTTGTGATGAATTAAATCGGCGATGTCAGTGATTCGGTCGAGTTATACCATCGAGAGCCAATCTCTCCACGGTGTCCTGGATCTCATCTATGGTGTCCTCCTAGTAGGACATGTCTTAAACACCCCACCTGGAAGTGTTCAGGAACCACCTCAGCTGGCTCCCTTCGAAGGGGAGGAGTAGAGGATCTAGTCTGAGAAAGATCATTTCCTCTGTGATCTTCTTCCAGTCAGAGTGGCAGGAATGTAGCTCAACCTGTAACTCAACAACTTCCCTTTCACGCTCAACTCTCTTCACCACAGTAAGTGATGCAGATGCAGCGCTAGAGTCGTGCAGCTTGTGCTTTTATGTGCTGAGTGAAAACACAACATTAGAAGAATAACACCGGTATTTGTCATAAAACACTACTTTAGTTTTGTTAATTTTGGCCAACAATTAAGATGAATTTGTGCTTTAGCTGTAGAGCGCCCCAGCTCTGCAGTGCAGGACAAGCTTTTAGCTAATGGAAGACCGGTTAGCAGCACGTGTCTAAATGTTAGCTCCAAAGAGCAGGTGCCATCGCACAAAGACGAACACGGTGACTGAAAATGTTCCAACAACATTTTGAGCTCTGACACTGAAACCACAACTACGTGAAGCGTCAAAGGTTTTGTGCATACAAAAAAGACCTTTTGATGGCTTGATTTTCTGGATGATGGGGATTCCAGTGCCCCTCAGGTGTATGTTGTTTGTTTGGCCTCTTGTTTGGTTGTGTATCTCCTACCTCCTCCTGCCTGCTGGTTGTGTAAATTAATAATTATTTGCTGAAACATTAAGCACGCTATACAGCAAACAGGATCTTGTTGTATAGGTCTTTTCAGCTTTTGTGGACTTTTACTGACACCAAGTGGCTAAAATAAATGTTGCTCTTAAATTAAGGTCAGGTCTCCTCACTGTCACACTGACAGCGTTGCTCATGACGCTCGTGCTGTTTTAACTCTTACAGAACAGGACCAATATGACGTACGAGAAGATGTCGCGAGCACTGAGACACTACTACAAACTGAACATTATCAGGAAAGAGCCTGGCCAAAGGCTTCTGTTCAGGTACATCATCCTCTTTTCAAACTTGTCTCGCTGCTCCAAACCGTTATTTGTTTTATTGATGACTCAAAAAGTAAAAGAAAACAGGATTTTGAATAATTTGCTGAACTTGCCTCGTCTGTGCCACAGATTCATGAAAACCCCTGACGAGATAATGAACGGACAGACGGACAGGCTGGAGCACCTGGAGTCCGACACAGACGAACAAATCTACATCAAGGAGGAATGCTGAGGAACTCTGGGAAAGCGAGTCCATAAACTGCTTACTACTACTACTACTACTTCTACTATTACTACTACTACAGCCGCTGATGCCTTTCAGAAGCAGCTCGAAAAATCAACATTGAAATTAAAGCGTGCACAGGTGTTCAGTGGTGTCATTCCTACAGGGAGAGGCATGAAATGCAGTCTTTCCTAACATGGCCTTAGGATGATATTAACCTGGGGAAAAAAAGAAAAAAAAAACAGCATCGGGTGTTTTCGGATCTTTCGGACGGACTGAACTGAAAGGTCTCTCTTCTAAGTGTTTCCTTCTCTTTCCGAGCTGCAAAAGCCAATCACTTTGTGCTTATGTCACTGTTTGATCGTTTTTGTCTCCTCACATGCATTATACAAAGGAATTTTGCTGTTTCTAAAAAAACAAAAAGAAAAAAAAGAATGAAAGAAAGAAATTTGTGTGTGTGTGTGTGTGTGTGTGTGTGTGTGTGTGTGTGTGTGTGACCGGAATGTTTTCACCATGGAATAAACAACTTTTTGATCAGAGATGGGCTCTATGTGATTTCTCTCGGGGTGTGTTTGTAAGTGGAGTGCATCACATATCCACATGATGGCAGTAGTGGACAACTTTTGCTGGCGGAAGCCTCGGCATGTGGATGGATGTCTGCAGCAGATCAACACTTCAGTGAGTGGAACAGACGCCCGAAGGCTGTTTTCTGTGTTTTTAAGTGCACAAGGTTAAATAGGGGACGGACAGGTGGCACGTGCCTGAGAATCTCTAGCTTTTCATTGGCGTTATTGATGACCTGGCCCGGGTGTGTAGTAACGAAAGCAACCAATCCCTGATTAGTCATCATTTATAGTTTCTGCTTCACTCCTTGAACTACTTTCGGATCACACTCTCACATTCTTCTCGCTTTCTGTCTCCTAACATAATTGCAGCAGCTTTGAGCCTCGCCTTTATGAATTATGAAACACGCGTGTTGTGGGTTCCCCACATTTGTGTTATTGTTTTCAGCTTTAAAAATACCATTTTAAATGATCACCCATTCTTTGTGACGTTTACGTCAATAGCGGTAATCCGATTACTGTAACGCTGCCAGCAGAGGTACCGGATGCGCTCTGGAGTCTCCATAAAAGTTAGTGCGCACGGAGCGGAGCTGTCAGACTGCGAGGAGACGCGGCTGAGCAAAGACTGTGGGCTGAAGTGACTAATGGGATCCACCTCACTCCATCTGAAGAGTGCGAGCTGATATCACGGGTGATTATCACCCGTCTAATGCGCACAACAGGACCCATTTGAACCTAATAAGACACAGCTGTGCAGGCTTTCGTCGGGTTTGTGGACTATCGGGATTAAAACAAAGGGTTTGGATTCAGGAGACTCACCTCTGTGGTGGATGAGGTGCCATCACCGCTCTTTTAAAAAGACGAATAATCGAAAGCAATAAGCCTGTTCGAGTTCATCCGGAGGGGCAAGACAAGCCACCACTCCCGTCTTTTTTTTTTTTTTGGTTTGTTTTTTTCCCCCCAGGACGCAAATGTCTCCAGAGCACAGGGACGTCACTGGATTGTAACACCAGCAGCCTCACCGATGGTTTAATAGGGCGTTAAAGTGCGGGAAGGGAGTGGGACAACTACAGGTAAGAGCCATGCAAGCGGTCATTCACGGCCCTGGGTGGGTGGCGGGAAGACTCGCCGATCAGCGCGTAAAAACCACTCAAGTGTCGCATTTGTCCAATCGAGCCTCTCCCCATTAAAAATAGTCATATTTGCATTGCCCCCCTAATAACCAGAAAATACATTTGGATCTATTTTTTGTTCTAATTGCAGTAACTCCTGAAAAAGAAAGTAGAAGAGTCGGGCTTTAGGAGGTGCAGTTTTCTCATTGTCAGTCACTGCCGCTAAACTCGCAATCAATTCAGTTAATTTCACTACCTCAAATCAATGCCGCCTCACTGGGAGTCCTGGATATACAGCAGTGTAGAGCAGGCAGAGGTGACAGTCTAGCTTCACTCAGTCAATAAACGGTAGTCTGCACCGGAGTCTGGAGCAGAGGATCCTGGACCTGGGGTCATGCTTGTGTGCTCTGATTTTAGTGCAAGTAAGAAACTTCGTATGTATATAAGACTACAGATGTGAGTGGACTCATTTTATCAGCTTGACCTCCTGTTCTGAGGCTAACGTGGTTTCACCAGAAGCAAATAAACCCTGTGATGATGAAATGGTGTGACACAGTGGCTGGAGGATCACATGGGCTCCCCGTCTGCTGCTGCCACTAGACGAGAGGTTTTATTTTCCAAAGTGAAACAGGAAGCAGAGGAATAAAACCTGATGAGATGGAGTCTAAGCACACACTGGCCTGATGCAAAAACAACTTTTAGGAGCACGTTTTTAAAAAATAATTATCAGACAGCTTCCTTAAACAGCAGAATTTCACCTGTTTTTGTAACTGTATTTCCAAAATCATGTGCCACAATCCAACTCACTTTTTTTTATTGAAATGGTTTTAAAATGCTTCTAAAGGTTAAATAGCTCCTCATGATGATCCAAGCTACCTTTAAATTAGTGTGGAGCCCTCTTTCAGTTGCTGTCTTCCTCGTCTTACCCTCCCTATCCCCTCGACCTTTATTTATGTCCGGGTAACTTGCCACTCCACCTCTCTCTCGACCTTTATCCAATTACAACGTTTAGCTTTAAAAACGCTACATGAAACAACGCTAAAGCTCCAGTTACTGTCAGCAGCTTCATGTTTCCATATCTAATACCAGCCACTCTTCACAATCCCTGCTGGATAGGATTAATAGATTAAAAAAATAAGCTACAGATCCACATAAAAGTACACAAATCTAAGTAACTACATGCTCAAACGCATGAAACTATGTTTTCAAATATAGCTGCGGCTACTTTTCATATTCCAGTTTAACATAAACACGATGACCTTTTGAGATCTTTTCTTTCTGATGTGGCCTCTTGGAGAAAAACTGTTTGTTTTCCACGTGAAGAGAGACTTTTCCCTCCCTATCTGGAGGAGCGCTGCACCTAAGTTGGGAACCACTGATCTGAGCAAACACACAGTGTATGAAGTAGTTCAGTCTAAGTGGAACACGTAGAATAAATCTTCTGTCTTGTTTCCTTCCACTCGGAGCATTTGCTTGGAATATTTTTATGTGAGTGTACTGAATAAAGGGTCAGACTCCCTCTTCCACCACTGCTGTGTCTCAGCACAGGGCTGGAGCAAACCACACTATGACATCATCTGGCAACTAATAGCGACTTTTTTTTTTTTTTTTTTTTTTTTTTAGCAGCCAAACTCTTCTTCCCCTCAGAAAAAGAACTGGCAGCCCCAGCAGTCCGCAATTAGCTGGAAGCATTAGCAGCAGCTCCTCCGGCGTGAACGATGAGCTTTAATGGCTCTGAGCTCGCCTGGCTCAGGTCAAACCGGGCCCCCTCCCTCGGTCCAGCTGGGCGAACTGGTGCCGGCTGCCTGGCCAGCACCGGCGGATCGGCCAATGTCACCTTTTAGGGGCAGGTCACACAACCTCGTCCTGGCTCTGCCTGGCCATTGATCCGAAGCAGTGACACTGAGGCTTCATGGTCCGCTGCTCCTCGCCAACCAGGCCGACCCAGCACTGCCGCCAAACAGCTGTGACGGGCAACACACAAGCATCAGCGGGAGGTGGGGGCTGTCTCTGAATTAGCCTGGAAACTTCTTTTTCTTTGGGGGTTTTAGTTAGAGAGTAAACAGGAACTGCACAAATCAAGTGCACCATGATGGAAGATGTCCTGATTTGAAGTCATACCAAAGTAATAAAATCCAAGCAGCACAAGATCCCTCGGGCCTCTTTCAGAGTGATGTGCTCCTGATTCAAGGAGGCTGATTCATTCATTAAAATCATTTTTTTGACCCCATGCCTGCGAGGCATGCTATTGACCACCCTGTTAGACTCTTTCCAATGACTAGTTCTATAAAATAAAGACTTTCTCTTGTACAGAGACTCTTTTGAATGTCTTGGATGACACCTGTATGCAAACTGCTCTGGGATTTATTTTTTTTAAATCCACCTCATCCCTCAAATGAAAGACCTCAGAGGAGGTCAGGTGCTCTGCTGCGGCTCCTTGATACGCGACTTTGCGCTCTCCTCAACAGAAATGATTGGAATTTGTGTAAAATATCGGCAGCTGATTGGCACCCGCTGTGCGGTTGTTTGATGTAAGTAGGAAGCGAGAGGCTTTTTCTCTCCCCCCTCCTCACTCCCTTTCTCATTCTATTTGATGTGCAGCTCTCTCTCCTCTCTCTCTGTTTCATCTGAACTAAAACAAATTCACCAGCCGCTGAATAAACAGGAGCTCTGCAGAAATGATATGAAAGCAGCTAAAGGTTCCGATAGATTTCCTGCTCTGACCTCGGTCTTCTCCTTCTGATTAGATTCTTTTCTCACTTTGCTGCTTCCACATGCCTTTATTTCCCACATTTCCTTTCACGAGTTTGAAGATTCAGTGCTGGTTCAACGCCTTCAGCGTAAATGTTAGTTACACAGATTTGTCAGTGTTTTTTTTTTTTCTTTGTGTTTCTGAACAACAAGCATTCATTGGATGTTCACTGTGTTATAGAGTAGGAAGCTGGCCCAGTGTATGGTGACGAAGATCCATCTTGATCAGGTAGTAGCGTATAAGAAAAGTGATTCATTACCAGGAGCCGATCCCAGCTGAAATCCACCCTGAACAGGCTGCCTGTCAATCACGGGGCTGATTGATAGGCAGCCTAACCCGGATGCCTGACTGTAAGAGGAAAATCCACACATGTGCACTCCAAAAAAAATTGCCACAACTGGTTTAAACGGTTTAAAACCTCACTCTCGTGCTGCCATGTTTTACAGTGAAAATAAGGCAAAAAAGTTCAGCTTCTTGTGGGAAAGCATAAAGTAGAAAATGATAAATTGACAACATTTATTATAATGAAGGCAGTGACTGAATTTAACCATTTAAAGAAACGCCTATACTCTTCTGTAACAACAACGGGCAATGTACTGTCACATTTTCCTCTTTTGTTATTTTATTTATTACAGTGTTGTCCATCCTTACTCTACTGCTGTGAGCATATTAACTGAATGAGCTTATTAATTACTATGCATTTTAAAAATGGCTCTGTTTGTGTCCATCACACCTGTATTGTTTCCTATATCTATGACATATATTTTGAAATGTCCTACTGGAATTAATCATTTTTTTTCTTTTTCATGTAATAACATTAACCTGCTGCCAACTGGGCTGTTTTCCCCATCTGGGCTTCAAGTATCCGCCTAAAGGCTTCTGCAGCTGTAAACCTTACAACCATTACAGGAACATAAAAAATGATTTTGGGTCTGGTATGTGATTCACTGCAAAGCATTACAATGTAGTGATAAGCAGTGGGAAACTACACACCAGTGGAGCAATTTCTGTTAAAAACTATGGAAAGTTGTAAGAAAAGATGGATAAAATTTATGATAGGAGACTTTCTTACAATTAAAATCACAGAGGCACATATAAACATACAACTGGAGGTCATAAATGATGACTTGAAGGTCAGTGATAAATACATTCCTTATTCGACCACCTGTCATAAAAGCAAGAAAACACAAATATTTTAGAAATCTGTCAAAAACATGTTTAAAACTAAAACAGATACTGTTATTTATTTAAATAGCAAACTCATTTCATGTTTTATACTCATATTGGAGCGAACTGGACTTCAATGTTAATGGTAAATTTAAAATTTCATGGATAAAAATAATAATAATGATATATTTACAATTTAAAATATCACAACTATTAAAGACTTGTATACTGGTGGATTCACCATTACAGATGCATAAAAAATATTTTGGAAATTACCTATTACATAAAAAAAATTAAACTCTGATCAAAACAAATAGAACCATTACAAAAAAGTATAACTACAGTTATAAATAAGCAAACTCAGTTATTATACTTAAAATAGCCGAGTGAGGATGTGCAAAACTATAAAAACATGTTATGGGAACTTCACGTTCGTACACCCGTCTTTTTACTGATGTTTATGGGCATGTCTGTAATCGGTGAAATTCAATACCTGGTTAAAAAAATACTGTAAATTTGGGGCAGCTGTGGCGAGGTCCTCACACTGGGTGATGATCTAATAAGTTGTAAAGCACTGTGCTCTTTTTTTTTTTTTTTTTAAAGTGTTGTGTGATATAAGGGAACGCTATCACCCTCTCACTCTGCCACTAAGCAGTACTGTATTCCTCTTTTATTACTTTAATGTGGAAAAAAAAATCTTTTTATTTAAGCGATAGATTTCTTATGATTTGACCTCACAAATATTTATTGAAATGAATGCGTTTTATGTTTAATGGAAAGGTTAACAGCAATGACAGAGACCAATAAGGTAAAACATGCAAATCAAGACCAGGAGAATCAGCAATGTTATAAATACTATTTTAATTTTTTAATTTTCTAATCTTGTTAGGAATTTAAAACCTACCAGCAACTCTATTCCATATCATGTCTAAGTCATGGATTACCTCATCCCTGTCCCAGTTATTTCCTTCCACTCAAAGATACTTGGACAAAAGAAAAAAAAAGAGGGGAACATGTTTTTGTGATCATGTAATTTCCACAT